TGAAAACCCAAAACCATGCATGTATATAAATATATATAACTATATATATGCATAGAAACCAAAACTTATGTATATATATGACTATATATATATACAAGGAAACCAATAAAATATGATATATAATATTGAGCTTAATGTACTTAACACACATAATATAAATCTAGACTAAATTACCCAAGCTTGATCTTGATCTTCAATAGCTTGACTTGGTAATCTTGCGGATGAAGCTTGAACTTGGATCTTGAACTTGAATTGCATTACTTCAACCACTATATCCGCCAACCTCCATTTGATATGATCGTGTAGGCTCAATCCATCCAACCTCTAACATGTTGTTTGTCTACAATAAATAAGAAAACACAAATACTAGACCAACAACATTAGTTGTAAATTATTTGTTAAACATCATCAAAACAAGAAGGCCAACATGATGCTCTTGTTTCACAAAGAAAACAATCACTGAAGTGATAATCTTGACCAAGCAAGATTACGACTCTTCTCGAGATCAAAACCAAGTATGATCTCAAGGTATGCTGACACAGACCTCAGATCTTTCGAACAACTCCTTCTTTATGCTAGAATTCGCCAAGATCTACTAGCCCTCCTCTAAAATTCATGGATTGTACTCTCTAAACTGACAACACCTCACCCTCTTTGATAGAATTTCAGATCCCCCGAAATAGGGGTCCTAGGCTTGTATTTATAGGCTTCAGTTTTGGTGTTTTTTGGATAAGAATAAGTGATTTGGCCTCATCTTCAGTTAATAACAGCCTAACCATATTTAAGGATAATATCCAAGAAGTTGGGAGGCTCTAGACAAAAGAATCCCGCAAAAACTGTCAAAAATTGTCGAAAATGCGTTTTGGGCATTTCTGGGTGCGAGTCACCCTAGGGTGGTTCGGCTTGGCCGAGCCACCTTAGGGTGACTCGGCTTTGGCCGAGTCTTCCTAGGGTGGCTCATTAGCCGAGCCGTTTACTCAAGTTAACTAGTCTAGGTATTTTGGTTCAAAAGAAATTTTTTTGTATAAATATTTAAAACCTAGGGCTCCATGTCGGACATGTTGGCCGATATTTAAAATCTTGATGCAGGGGATTCAGTTCTCACTTTTGTTTGTGATGGTCTAACAATTAACTTCCCTTGGGAGCAAGCCACACATGAGAGTAGAATTTAGTATTTTTTAATTTTTTAATGAATGGCCATGTGAATTTGCAATTATTCGCCTCATCATTATAGAACCAAGATGTCCAAGGTGATCATGCCAAATCATAAAATCATTGGGATTAGTAGACTTCTGGTCTTTAAGGTGATACATTTCAGCTGCACTTTTTTTTGTATAATATAAACTAGAAGATAGAGAAGGTAGCTTTTCTAATACGCATTTCTTCTCAGAAATTGTATTTGTAATCAATAAGTATTCACCATTTGTCTCATTCATCGTCTCGATATGATATCCATTTCGGCGGATATCTTTAAAACTTAGCAAATTTCTTCGAGACTTTATCGAAAGTAGTGCATTATTTATGATAATTTTAGTTCATTCGGGGAGAAATACAGTGGCTCTTTCGGAGCCATCAATCAATTTAGCACTACCACTTATTGTGTTAATATTTGTTTCTTCTATTTTCAAATGAGAAAAAACTTCATGTTTTTAAGTATAGTGTGTGTAGTAGCACTATCAATGAGACAAATATCATCATCACCATTGTTTGGTCCCAAATATTTGGCATCTATTTCTTCTTTAGGAAGAAATGACAAAGAAAATTACAAACAAAAGTAAATATCAATGAAGTCCGTAAATTATAAAATTCATAAAGAAAATTACATAAAAGATGCAAAATCAATAAAATTCAAAATGTCAGGTATTTGTCATGGGATCATTTCACAACTTCAGGTTGCTCAAGGAAATCAGCTACATCGAGGTGTGTGATATCATCAGTCATGGGATCATTTCACAACTTCAGGTTGCTCAAGGAAATCAGCTACATCGAGGTGTGTGATATCATCAAGATCATCATAAACATGCTCAAGGAAATCAGCTACATCGAGGTGTGTGATATCATCAAGATCATCATAAACATTGTTTTGATTAATGAAATTTGTCTCGACATTTTTTCCTTTCCCTTTTAATGATGCCTGATAGAGATCAACAAGATGGTTTGTTGTACGACAGGTACGGGACCAATGGCCTTCTATTCCACATCGGTAGCATATTTTCTCATAATATTTCTTTTCTTCACTTTTCTTATCATTATTGTCCCACTTCTGGAAGTTGGTTTTGTATTTTGCCATGGTTATGATCATTGTGATTATAAGGCACATATCTGCCATGACCTCATCCACGACAACGGCTACGTCCCCAGCCTCTTCCACGGCCATGTCCACGCCCATGACCTTGATTTTGAAATTGAGTTGTATTCGCTTCAGGAAATGGGCTAGCACCAGTAGGTCGGGATTCATGATTTTTCAATAATAATTTATTATTTTGTTCAGCTAAAAGGAGACATGAAATCAATTTGGAGTATTTCTTAAATCCTCTCTCTCGATATTGCTGCTGCAGGGGCATATTCGAGACATGAAAGATGGAGAATGTTTTTTCTAACATATCGTCATCAGTGACATTTTATCCACACAATTGCAATTGAGAGGTAATTTTATACATTGCAGAATTATACTCACTGATTGATTTAAAATCTTATAGCCTTAAGTGAAGCCAGTCATACTGGGCTTTTGGGAGCACGACCAACGTAAAGTGGTCAAATCTCTCTTTCACATTATTCCACGGAGTAAGTGGATCTTTAACAGTTAGATATTCAGTTTTTAATCCTTCATCCAAATGATGGCGAAGGAAAATCATAGCTTTGGCACGGTCTTGATTTGATGTCTCATTTTCTTCCATAATAGTATTTTTAATACCCATTACAGCAAGATGTATTTCAACATCTAACATCCAAGATAAGTAGTTCTTTCCAGAAATATCAAGAGGCATAAATTCTTGTTTTGTAAGGTTAGTCATAGTAAAAAATGAATTGAATTAGAAAGAGAAATTTTATCTCAAAGGTTTACCCAAATTATGAACACGTGCCCAACGATGAATCTAATGGACTTGAAATGGTTTGTTTCAATGGTAGAGTCTCGTGCTGATAACGTGTTGTAAAACTAATGTCTTTTGGTGTAGCAGTTTATGTGGTAAATTATAAACTATAAAATAGAGTAGAGAAAGTAGACAAGAAGTAGAGAGAATTTTTATTTCATCAATCTTTCATTACAAAATGAGGTAGGAATACCTCTATTTATAGACAAATTAATATGATGATACATGAATCATATTAACTACTCATTAATGAACTTAGTCATTCTAGAACATATATTGTGTTGTTCTAGGAAGAAGGTTTATGTAATACGAGAATATCAAGGGGTAATACAT